ATCAGAGAAGGGAAGATGAGAGGTCAATATTTTAGTATTCTCATAATTAGGAGAGCTTAGTATCACACGTCCATTGTCTCTCCATTCACTGGTGATATGTGGAGGTTCTAGTTATGGGCACTCTAGATTTGACTTGTCGTATTATCTGGTATTAGAAGATTGGACGCCACTTAGGTTACGGACGCTGGTCAATGCGGCGGAATACTTGAAATTAGTTCATCTCTAGTGCTTTTATTTAATTTCCGTCTCAAGACATACAGATAAAGCAATTGAAGTCAATCAGGATGAAAATAACTGAATTGTATTTTGTCATAAATATATACTCATGTGTATCAATTTCTCTCATAATTGTGTTATGTATATATGCTTTGATTCATGTATAGTTTTTTAAGCAAAAACCTGAAGTCAGCACTCTTGGTCAAATAATTCGTCTGTCTGTTGATGTTTGGCATAATCTACTTGTCATTTTGTTTTAAAGCTTATGTTGAAGCATTTTAGGAAATATTCATCCTCGTGTATGTAAGTAATTGAAATTCGTACGTGTGACTTTTAACACAACGTTGGATGATGTTCCTAAAAAAGTAACCAAAAGACCAGTAAAAAAAAAATAAATAAAAAAAGGACAGAAAGAAAGGGCTTCATTATACATTGAATTCACGAACCCAAAGGCCCTGAAAGATACACATTCTTAATTTTTTTTAATTATTTATATATTTTATTTTATTTATTTATTTATTTATTTATTTATTTATTTATTTATTTATTTATTTTATTTTATTTTATTTTATTATTTTTTTTATGTTTTGCTTTTCATTATTCGAATTGCAAATATAGGGCAACATGTGTTTTGTTGGACCAATGAGTCAAGGGGATGGAACCACATATAATGTTGTAAATTTTGAATTTACTGGGTGAAGGTAAATATAAAATTTAAAAAGTGATAAATATATAATTTTGTAGTTACCTCCAACCAATAAATTTCAAATTTACAAATTAATGCACATGCAGATAAAAGATAAAAATCCAAAGATCTGTCAACAAATCTATTGTCACCAATGTTGGTGCGTTTGTATTATGCATGCGCATTTTTTGTACTACTTAGCACAACAAGTCGTGAAGATGTTATGTACTCCGTGCCTATCATGCTTATTATAGAAATGTCAATGAGATATAATGTCATGGCCATCAATTCAACTCAATTTCACTGATTGGCCCAACACAGAATAAATTTAAATGTAACGTGAAATTCGATTTCCGAAATTTAAGTTTTGAAATAAGTAGACTATGGACAACTAAATATCTGTATGTGAGTTTTTCTTATATTACACAAATTTGTATTATCATAAAATGTAAACTATATGTAGATCTTTGAAATTTGTATTTCTATGGGAAAGATTTTTTTTAACCTTATTTGATTTTACATTAAATTATATTCAACTCCACAGAATGCACGTACGGGTTGTTTACACCCATTTGCTTTCTTCACTAAAAGAAGCAATCGTAAATGATAAGTTATTTCCGGGTGTCATTTTTTACATAGTATATTCTTGAGTGTTTCAGTAGTGGAAAAAAATTAAGTATGCCATATTATTTTTGAGAAAATATTCTCCGAGAGGTGACAATTGGCATTCTAAGGGTTAAGCCTACATATCCTTTGTTAATATTTAAAATATCAGTATCACAAAGCGAAAGATTTATGAACAAACACTATGCACCCGGCGGCAACAAAGTTCGAAAAAGCTATTTTTAGCGTATAGGTCACAGTCAAGGTCACAAGGTCATTGACTGCTCTAAACAAGATTCTGAAAAGCTTGAAAAAGTACAATTAACCGACTTTGGAATTATAACAGGACATCCTATTTTTGTGTCTAGAGAAGCACTTTATTCTGAAACTGGTTGGGAAACCTTAAAAACCATGCGATATATTACAAAAATGACTACTACATATATGTTCAAAATTCACACGGGAAGAGTACCTGAATATTTGCATGATATTGTTCCCAAAAAGCGTGAACATGTATTCGTATACAATACCCGTAACAAAAAAAAGATTATATTGTTCCAAGGTGCAGATTAGAATTATTTAGAAACGCATTTGTGCCTGATGCTGCAAACAATGGAATTTACTGAAAACAGAGGTCAGAGAAGCCATCTCAATCAAAACATTCCGAAAAAAACCTATTAACAAAAATTAAAAATCCACCATCATACTTCTCTTTTGGTAAGCGATACACCAATATCATTCATACTAAGTTAAGACATTACTGTATACTAAATTATGATCTAAAGAAACGAAACATTATAAATAGTCCCTTATGTTTATGGGGAAAAAATGAAGATGTGTACCATTTCTTTTTGCATGCAAAAATTATTCTAATGCAAGAAGTACTCTTTTTAATCGCTTGTTCATTCTGGAACTGGTTACTGTTGATATAAATCTATTATTATGTGGTGATGTTAATTTGCCTTTACAGATAAATAACAGCATATTTGCTGCTGTTTATAAATTTATTGACAAAACATGTATATTTTCTAGTTGATATGTCATTTAATTGCTTCTTCACTTGTATTAATTGTATTATTTTTCTTAAAATTTGCATGACATATTTTACATGTGTCATGCAAAATTTTTATTTTTGTCAATTTTCACTTTTTTTCGTCACGTTGTCGCTTTAATATTTAAACTTTACCAATTTTGTCACAAATTGAACTCAAACAAAAGCTGCCGTTTTTTCGGGTGTAACTGTACTCTCAAATACCTTCAGAGATAAGGACAAATAATTACCCCGTTACCTGTTTGTAATATGCAAAGTACATTTAGATATACATAGATATATGTATGAGTCAGTTTTATTGAAATTCCAAACATAGTGCAAATAAAAAAATTATTTCCGAGATAGCTCCGGTATCCCAATTATTAATGTTGATTAATTTCGGGCAATATTTTTAAAGGTTTCCTGGACTCCAATTACAGCGTCTGCTGCCTTAACGCACATTTTGATGGGGGATAGTGCAATATTCCATTTATATAGAAGTTTATTTCACAAATTAGGAGCAGAGTCTTACAAATTGCCGTTTTCTTATATCGATATCATCACAAAATAAGGTCAACCCACCCCGTAATTCCATTAGAATTTTATTTCTATAACAGCAACGGAAGATCAAAGCACTAGATACATATGAATGATGTAAAAGTAGGACATAGAGGAAGTGGTGACATCGAACACATTTTTTTTGCGTTTTTACAATTCTTTAAAGCTTTGAATTTCAATAAATTGGAAGGTAAAATAAGGTGGATGACCGAGAAAGACCAAAAAGAATATTTCATTCATGAAATTCCCGTCACATGATGTTAAATGATGACTGACATATGCAGTGACTATTTTACATATACTGCTTTACCCATTCACATCACGTCAAGCTGTTCCAGCGTTTTTGAGGAGGAAAACCGCTACCCGGAAAGACCCAGGTTACACGTGCCTGTGCTTTTGTTCCAGGATTTGGTCAGATTTTATTCACCTGTTTTCCCTGTCTACGCATCAAATATCATTGTTGTCCTTAATTCCTTTTCCTGCTACCTGTTCAAATGTCGTTTTAAAAAACACAATATGTCTGTCTATAGTTATTATCATTATGATATAACTTTTGAAAAGTAAACAAAAAACTCCTCAGTTCTCAACAAGGAAATGTTATATGAATTCTAAGGATCTTTTTAAGTCACACTTGACACTAATGGAGTGAATTAAAGAGTTCCCAGAATTTTCCCCATTAACGAATTAAGAAGCACTAAATTTTAACACACTTTGTTACAACAACCTAATATTTGAATCTGTAGACAATCATTTTCTAGGAATTACAAAAAGTCTTATTAATTATTAAAGGGTCGATAGTATTAATAAAACACTTTTTCAGAATTGTACCCCCCTCCCAAAAAAGAAGATTGTTTCCTTTTTTATAAATATGTCCCTGCTGTTTCTGCCTTGTATTTCGCAATTTTTTTTATTATTGCCAATAAACAGCAGATTACACGACAATAATTGTGGCTGAACTTCTCAAATTTACTCTTGGACTATGTTGTCAAGGTATACATTGGTAAGACACGGGTCTAGGAAGGGTCTAGTAGCAGAACTGTAGCTCTCCGAAAAAAAAGTATTGGCAGACCGGAGAGCTACATTGCCACCCATAGATTTATTGCGCACAGAATGTTGTGTTTGGTCCTGGTTTCATTTAATCAAATTCTTACCTCAATTGCACAAATGCTCGAAAATTCCTTATACTCTTGTAGTTATTATTTGCACGAAGCGTGTTGGGCCGAATTGTCTACCACCCAAAATGGCAGTATAAATAGGCGAAGGGGGCTATTACTAATTAGCAATGATTTTAGGAAAATAGTGTAAAAATATGCTAGGAACACGCGGTTAGTAATATTTTGATATTGCAGTTTTAATATACGGAGATATAAATCGAGAAACAACGCATTTTTTGTATGGAATAAATAAACACTTTTTTCAATGGGTGGCACTGTAGCTCTCTGGTCGTCCATCCCGATTTTTCAGACCAGCGAGCTACAGATCTGCATCTAGGAATGTTCTAAAGCAAATACATTTTGTCTTTCGTGCCTTTTCGAAAAATTGGCTAAAATCTAGTATTCTTGCATTGCTTCATGTCACATTGTTTGTGTGGTTTTCTGTTTTTAATATTGGTTTGTTTGGTGCATGTTTGATAACCGTTTCGTTCTAAGAACAGGACCGAACAGCGACGCAATATTTGAATAAATTTTGCAGTTTCGAATTCATCTCCCTTAAAGGGTGATGTGTCTCTCGACGATCCGCTTTGTAGAAATGGTATCCCTGTAGCATATTGCAGTACTTAAGCTGTATATGGCCCGTGAGAATTTCATGCTCATGAAAAAAGTGTGCTTCTGAATTATGCAGCAGACATTATTCTTAACTCGTAAAACAATTTTGTAGGGGAAAACAACTAGATATCAACCCATGCTCTTTGGAATTCAAATTTCAATCTGTATTTCTAACACCAACACATCTGATGATTAACATCAATAATATAAACAATGCATATTTGTGATCAAATACAACTAAATGTTGATTAATTATATTTGCAGATGAGTATGAAAATCAATATGGTGTCTGAGTATATCTCTTAAATGAAATATCACACGATTTCAGGAAGTAAGTTTCATTTTCTCCAGTTTTTGTATATCGTTTATTTGCGTCACTTCCGAGTCTCTGTACAAATGAGAGCGCAGAGTTTCTAACTCGTTGTCCGAACTCGATCCGGAGTTTCTGGAACGAGAAAACATCGGATGTCCGAATATCTTTTTGAAAATCTTGAGTAACACTTTGCGGAATCGTCTACCCACAGCTGTGTAGATTAAAAAGTTCACCGACGAGTTGGTCACAAAAAGAGTATTTCCAAAAGCTATCCACTCAAGAAACACGATGGGGTCGAATAAGAAGTCAAACTGTGAGAAAAGTCCTGGAGTCTGACAACAAATGAAAACTATCACAATTAAAACAAGGACAAGGCTAAGATTAGCCTCATTGTCATCTTGAATATTTGTACCTTTTCTTCTTGCACGCATGCGCATTAGTTCCATAATTATTAAACAGTTGAGCACAGCTAAAAGTGTCAGGGGAACAATGTAAATTAAGACAGCATACATCCACACCATATACACTTTTGTATAAAATGTTGTTTTACCAAATTCAGTGTCCCGGAGCAGGTAGCACTGCCGAGTGTCATTAGGGGAACATGATGGTTTAGACCTGCTTGCGAAACACCTTGGAATGTTGTAAAGTATAGATATTCCACATATAGCAATCAGAATAATCCATGTTCTTCGCTTCGTGCATATTTTAGCTGCTTTGAATGGATGACAAATAGAAATATATCGCTCCACGCTTACAGAAACCGTTATCCACACGTTGCATTGTTGGATGACCATCACTATGTAAGTCACTGGGGTATATAAGTTAGGATATATCACATCTTTAAAGTACCACAATTCTGGGTGGAAGAAAGACAATGTAAATGGTGCTACAGTAAGTGCCACAACCACAATGATCCCCGTATCCGTCAACACAAGCGCCCGCAAGAACAAGATCGTTGTTGAATGCATTTCCCGTCGCCACAGTACAATCATAGTTAGAATGTTTCCAAAAACTCCAAAGACTGCCAAAATCGGAAGGACAATTCCATTGACGACATACTGTATATAGAATGCTCTCTGGAGCGCGGTGTCATTTCCGGCGCTGTCCTGTAGAAAAGTTGCGTCGCCATACGACAAGTTGAGGGCAAAGTTAATCTCGTAGACTACCATGGCGATAGCGTCTACTGAGAAGGTTCAGTTCTTAAAACCATGATGTTTGGGTTCCTGGAAAGAAATGAATGAAACTATCAATCTAAACTATCTCAATGTTCTGTACAGCTCTAAATAAATAGGTAATCAAATTTAATTTCATCACAGGTAATCATTTTTGAAAATTCCTTTGTATTAGCGGGAAGATTGTGAACTTGGTAAACAGGGATATGTGGTATAAAGTGATGTTTTCCAGGAGGGCGCACACTGTGACCAGAATCAGAGAGACACAGAGTTACTTCATAAAAATCACCCCTGTCTTACAAATATAACGATTTGTTGGCAAAATACTATTGCAGAACATGGTTATTCTGCACGGAAGAAACAACCGTGTTCCATGTAAAGATGGCCATATGCTATAGCGCACAAATTAAGGCATGAGGTGTGAACTTGAAATTGGAAGACATATAGCAGTGTCCGACCTGCTTTAGAGCGTCATAATGCCAGTTTTCCAATATTTCTCAGAAATTATACAGAAAGTATTCCTAAGAGTACTGCTTAAGAATTCTGCCTGGGGACACGAGTGAAATGGTGCACTAATTTATAAAGTCGGAGGTGGGGATCAATGAATAAATCATTTTCATCAGTATTAAATATTCCCTTTAAGATAAGAATTCATCAGATTATTTTGTTTACACAACGCCTATTTCCAGCAAAACCCAATTCATTTTTTTTTCATTTAAGATATAAATGTATTAGCAATATCTGGTGTAGAATTCACAACATGCAGATCACAACATGTTAAATATTCTTTAGATTGTGATTTATTTTGAAAAGATTACCAATCGTAGATTGAAGGAACAAAATGTAGGGACATATTTTTTGTGATAAAAGCTTGGTTTGTTTATTAAGATGGCGGGGTTCTCGGTCTGTGTTTGGCATCCTTTTTGCGGTTGTCCTCCAATCTTTCTTCGTACTTCTAATGCATCACTAATTTGTCGATTAAGCTGAACCATTTTCAGAATTTGATTCACGCCGAGTTTTAATCATTTCTGTCTTAACTTTATCGTTCTTTGACAGAAACCTCATTTCCCCTTCAAATCTACACGGAGTACGACCCCAAGCAACGACTGGTCTCGATTCGTGATGCGATGTCGCTGGGAGGGGGATCAAAATAAACAGTTCATAGATAAATAGTATATATATATATATCAGCAAACATGTGTTTTAGATTTTTATCAAAATAAACATGTTTACATAACATTTTATTAGAATGTACACTTTTAGACAAGGATCTTAATCCCCTGATTTCTGATTAACGAGTACCTGCCTGAAAATTAGTCTTTCTTAAAATACGACATTCCTTTTAAACCCAGAAGGGTTTCAGACTGATGTTAATTTTTGCTCTACTTTATTAAAATACATCTATAAATCTCCTGGATTAAAATCTCAAGCAAGACACCACGTGACAAGCATGTAGCTTGCGAGTCGTGGACATAATGTTGATCTTTCTTATCCAAACTTATCCAAACATCTTGTGATAATGCAGTGTTACATACTTTTAAGAGGTTTTTGATAACCAAGATCAAAAGTTTATCATGTTAAAGTATACACTGTAAGTAATTAATAGAGATAATGTCAGAAGCTGTGAAAATCAGAGACATATAAGCCCCGGTATTCCTGACCCGTATCTCACTCAGTAACGGATAAAAACATCTTTATCGCGAGGGGATAGGGATCGAAAACGTTAATTTCTGACAAAGATACTGATCACTTCTCTAAATGTCAGCTAGTCTCAGCATATTTGCGGGAAAGAATTCTTCTGAACACGAGATGCACATCAATCAGTAAGAAGACTGTTCATCGGTCATGGGTAATATATATACATGTATGTCGATGAAACATCATCATAATTTACGCCAAATTTCCTCGGATTTATTATTTCATGTCTTATATCAATGTAACTGAAAAATGTTGTTGCAATATATTTGATATAAATCCAGAGTATAAGTAGCGTAGACTAGGGGTTGGTGGACAGCTGATGGAAGACAGAACTCAACTGAACCACTGAGCGAGCCAATCACAAGCCGCCTGGGAACGCGCATCACAGCGCACGGTCCTACAAAACCATCGTCTCCAAATTAATTTTGATTCAGCATTTTTTATTGTCCTATCAAAGCTTTGGGAATTTGCGTAATGCTAACGTAGGGATCTAAATATGGTTTTTCATTATCTAAAACATACATATTAGTGTCACGTCAGGCGAATCTTTGGTCAAGTCTGTCTCTCTCATGACAGTGATAGTTCTGTACTTAATGTACTGTGTTACCTGAGTGATCATGTGTCCCGTACCCCGTTTACAGTCACGTGGTATAGGGAAACATGGTCATTTACCAAGGTTAACCTTGATATTTTTATGCATATTTTTAATTTCACAAGAAGTACGAATCAAGGATGAAAAGAGCAACTCGTAAATCTGACATGCTGTAGTAACCATGTAAAATGCTAAGTGTTCTGAACGAAGCATGTCTGCATTTGTTAGTATTTTCAGAAATTTATATGATGTTTATGTCTTCAATTCATTTTGGTTTTGAAAGAGAAATAATTATTCACGTATTTTCCCCTCAAATGTTATTGTTGTGTAAATAATTCAAATATATTTTAATTACATTTTTTTTTACCACGCACTAAAGTAATTAACGTTTGTTTTCAATTCAAAGTTTACAATGAAGGTTTAAAATCTCCCAAAATTTAAAATTCGTTATGCAAAATTCTTTGTATGAAAAAGACATCTGCCAAATAACAGGCAATTCCACATTCAATTTAAAAAAAAATGGTTTTAATTGCCTTAGTTTCAACTGTATAACAAACTATATAACGAGGGACATTGTAAGGACATACATTAACATTTTGAATTCTACGCAAAAATCTCTCGAAAGTTAGAAAACTTTCAGCGTAATATTACACGTTTAGAGCCACAAGGACAAAAGTCCACTGCCCTGTCGGTAGTACATCTACCTAACGTCACGATTTTGTTATCGTTATCAAATCCACAATATGTATACAAGCATACAATACTCCAAAATTATCTTTTTTAAAAAAAAGGTAGAGAAATTTATGGGGAAAATCCAGGCATTTTTGAAAGCATACATTAATATAAATATTCTATGACAGAGAGGAACAAAATTATCTATTCTGTTCATTAACACTGATGGATCACTAATCTTATTTCCATCCCATGTGATTTATCTCTCAAACGAAGCCAAGAAAAAGATAAACAAATTAAAACTTATCTCCCTCCATGTAAAGAATTTCTGACCAGAGACAAAGGGGTCAGAAAAGCTTTTCAAAAATTCCAGTAGCTAACCAACAACAAAACCAACAGAGAGAGAAAAACAAATCCAGTTATCTGATGATTCTTAAATCGGAAAACTATGTTTAGGGAAAGAATCAGTCCGATAGCAAGAAAATCACGATGATCTGTACAAACTTTATAATTTTACGCGATTTAAAGCAATATTTGTTGGTCACTTACCAGAATTTTTGTCGGCATTCCGACTAAAACATACACCTCTCTGTGCATGAATAACAAGTTAATTCCTCAGATCTTTGTAAACTTTTGATTATCGCTTAGAAAGGAAAACAAGAAACGTGCAATATGATTATTTCGATGAATCCACCAAACTTTCTCCGCGTAAAATACACCCTAAGTAAGAAACTTATTATCAGATGAAAAATCCTTGAACCCCCACTTCAGTAATACCAATTATACACTGTACGACATGGTGTTACTTATAAAACAGAATTCGTTGTTTGAGGAGTTTATGTAGGTGCGGCCTATTCGGACCATTGTCCATTGATTATTATACTCAACAGACCTGCGCGGACCAAGCCGTTTTAAACTCTTCTGCAGCTGTCCAGGCATAATTCTGCCTTGTTAAACTTCATTAACAAACAGAATAAAATTAATTGTTACGGAACAAGTTTCATTTACACGCATTAGTTTAAAATGCATTTAAATCATCTCGAGTTACGAATATAAACAATTGAAATTTTCATTTACAGTTTTTACTCAATGAAAGAAAAAATTATTACCAGATCTTTTTAATGCAACGAACAGTAAAAAGTTTTGTACTGTTTAACACTCACCTATGTCACAGAAATCCAAAAAAAAAGTCACAGAAGAAAGTCGGCTTTGTGAGTATACATAGATCAAGTCAATTAAAAATTACTATGCATTTACACACAACGACTGTAAACAATTGTCATTTTCCGGCCAGGAGCGTTTTTAGGCTGTGTGATGGGAAGTCGAGAGGTTGCCATGTTTTATATACCGCTATCGATTCTGTATATTCCCAGATAGAGCACCGCCAAACTTAGAGTCCCATTAAAAACCTACTCACGTGGACCAAACTTTCAGTTTGTGGAATTAAAGTTTACACGATTAAAACTTATTTACGCAATGGACATCCTCCACTCTCAAATTAAATATTGATTAGGGGGTTGGTTTAACGTTTGAATCAACACATTGTACACTAATCATCTAAAGAAATATATCATCTCCTCAGATCTATGACGTTTTTGTCCCGAGGGTCCTGCCATCCCTTTTATAATACCAAACTCAATGAAATTTAGACTCAGACTCAAAAAAGAATTTTTGAAAGCTTCGACTGTGCTTATCCCAAATGTTGCTTTAGCACATTTTTCATTTCTATTTTAAGAAGAATTCGAAAGCTAAGTAAGAACTTCTTACTCGCCTGTTTTAATCAGAGTGATATTTCTGTGATAACACTATAGCATATTTTATCGCCTCAAATTGCTTTTTAAAAATTCGTTTCATTGAGACGTTGTGATAATCAAGAACTGTAAAAGAATAACATACATATAAATTGCCAGGAGTTTACAAAAACAGACATGGTTAATGCCTCTTGTACTACATCGCAGATAGCCCAAAAATCAAAATGACCGACACTGGCTCTTTCAAAAGATTTTCGAAAAATTCAATTCACTTAGGAATTTGCCTTTAATTTTTTTAAAGAAAATTTACTTAGTATTTGTATTTGTTTTGTAGATTAATACGATTTAATATGACGTATTCACGTAGAACAAAAAAGTGCTTTTACATAGGTGTACGGTGCGATAGTTTTTATGAAACCTTCATATCTCTCGGCCATTAGCATAATAACCAATATTGTTCTGCAATCAATGGGACTTATGTGCGGATTAAGACCCGGCTTTTGTTTCCCCTAAGTGGACCTGTAAAAGGAGAGCTTGCAGTGGGACAGTGCCTCCTAGTGCCGGCGGAAGTACCAGGGCTTTTAATCTCGGAATACGATACCCCTCTGACCATATCACTTCACATCGGGAAAATATCGCTCCGCAATATGACGACTGTATTTCTTCAGGATAGTTATGTTATTGGATTTCATGAGTGGATAGATAATACTGCGATTTTCCACTTGGGTTATATAAAGGTCATTTTCAAGCATTTAGGACCTTCGTCACAAGGAAATAATCTAAGGGAGCCAGCGAGTGGACATAGAGTCGGACCGTCAGTAGTTTATGTGGATGTCATGGCTTATCGCATCAGTTGCCCGCTGGCGACCTGACCAATCGAAAATGAACTTCAGAAAGAAAACGTCCAAAGTCTTCTGATTTTGCTAAGATAATGTTAATCTACGCAGGTCCCTGTTGAATTTATTTACAATGCCAAATGACTCGAGAAAACTGTGGTCAATATTTGTTTAAAGATTTGGTTTAATTTAATTTAGTGAAATAAGTAGCCAAATAATTTTTCTTTAGACAAGTGAGGTCCAGCAGTCTGTGATACGTCATTTAAATCTCCAAAGTTTATAAGATTACAAAACTGTATAAACGTAATAACACAACATCCAAAAAGATCTATAGACATAACTGTTTGAAAATTTTGAAACCCATCTCCTTCTATCAAATTGTTTTAAATCAAGATGCACGAAATTGTGTCCAAAACAAACAACTAAGGTTTGAATTGATAATATTATTCTGTTTGTAATTGTTTTGTAGCCGACACACATCAATTCTGAAAAAATGCTTTGCTTCATTCTAGGATGTTTAATCTTCAGACGGTAAGATACGACAGGTGTTTGAAAGCTTGGAAGGGGGTTTAGAGGGAAAAACTTAAACAATCTTTGAATTTTCAATGTCCTTAGTTCGTGCATCCAAATTTGAGTCTCTTCATTTCATTCCTAGTTACCACAAGCTAAAACTGCAATAACCAAGACGTACCCTAGAACAATACCCATGAACAAAAATGGGCGGACATCATGGAAACATAGCATTTGTGTATTTAACACCAGGAATCGGACAGTACACAAAATAAACAGGAAGTATAGAGGAACTTCGTGGCAATTTTTAGAAAACAGATAAATCTCACTCAGATAAAGAAGCGTTCTCTAGATGCCCAATAGACCATACTCACCAATTACCCAAACCCAACTTACTGACAATTCATTCTATAAAAAGCAATCTTTTTTTCTATTTTCTGCAATTTCAATCAGACTGCGCGCAATTTGAGACGCCATGCATAGTACGATATATTAAGTTCTAATTGCTTCATTTTCACATCAATTTTTAAAGAAACAGAGGTTAAATTTTCTCCTATCAAAGATATAAGTGGTTTCAACAAGCTTGTACTTGTAGTTTATGGTGATGGTTATGGAGAAAATGGCAATGAATGGGAGCCGAGCAATATACATCTTCATTACTTGCCGGCTGATCAACAGTCGTTACTGAGGAATGCTCGGATTTAACTTTTGTTTTTTTAATGTCAAAAAGCAGGTGCTCTCTGTTAATACCAGTACTCCAGAAGTAGCAGTTTATATTTTCCTATCTTAAACTGTCATATGCTGATTTCTCATAAATTACGAATATTACCGTCGCCAAGAAAAACGTGAAAAGGTAAACCCAGCCAACAGATATTTTAACGATTAATTAGATTTATCCGTATATCAGAAGGCTTATCAAGATGGTCGTCTATATGGTGCCCAACTTTTTGTATCAATGAGATGTGACAAGACTATAAGTGTCGCTAGTTTGTAAGTGAATGAAAATTTAAATACAAATGAATTATTTTTTAAGGAAAAGATGTCATTTCACAGAAAGAGATTTGTACCCAAGTTGTTAATGAAACAATTAGAGGGTGGTTTATGTAATTCTGAAATATCTGGTAAATAGATTTGAATTTCAATGCATGTTTTCTCTTTTTGTTCTGATTGATATGAACATATTTCCTTAGAACCTTCATTATTTATCTATTTGTCATACGTTAACGCCAATCAATTCCAATTATAAAGTCATCTTGTGATTTAGTTTGATCGATTCACCAACTTATGCAAGAATGTGACTTGATCGCGGAGGTGAATTGTCAAACAAGAAAATTATCAAATATAGTACAGGTAGGATTATACCACAGATATACAAGGAAACCACATGTAAGTTCTCCCCCTGACAAGACCGGGCCCCAACAAGGTAATCTACAGTCCCGGATTCCTTTTCAGGCATATGACACTTTTTATTCATGTATATTATCTGACGAACATATATTATGCAAAGATCGATGTGTAACACTTCTAAAAAAAAAATCTGTTATTGACAGCTTGACAGTGTGTGAACTGAGCCACAGAGGTAACGTTAATTAGATACAAAGGGCAAAGATAAAGAAAAGGAATTTCTAATTCAATTTCACCACTGAAAAAGAAAACAATGAAGGTCTCAGAGATTTAAAACAAGTTTACCATTGTAAAATAGCGTATGGCTGATTAAACTTTTTAAAATCTTCAAAATCGTTTTTGTTTGGAGAAAAGCAAAAATACTTCGAAACCTTAAAAAAAATATTTTAAAACATGTTCTGAATTTTATCATCTTTATCAAAACTATGTTATTGATGAATTTGTATTCAAATATTCCTACTAAGAATGGCCGGTGTATCCTTATCTCAGATGTGTATAATATTAATTTAACTGCACCTATAATTATTAATTAGCTGTCATGCCAAATGTATTCTGCTTACCTGGGCTAAAATTACATTTTATGTTAGATATCTATCAGTGATTGGCAACTCTTACCTAATCTTTGGCGATTCAGTCCAACATAATGGGACTGTCGAGTTTGCGTGGATTGCAAACGTTATGTTGTCACGTGACAGTATACAGACTGAGACATGTGAAGATAGAGGGAAAGCTTATTGAAGTTTACATACAAGTGAAAGTGATCATCCCCCCCAATGACCACTTATTTTAAGGCCTGTCGATTACAGGTTATGACTTCTGAGTTATTTTTCCGTTGGGATCCGGAAATATATTACCCGACATGCTCATTTCCTCTTCTTTCGGTTTATTATTTCTCATCTTCCTCTATTGGACATTGCTTTAACTTCGGGCTATAGCTCTACATATATTGGAAAATATCGTTCGCTCTGCCTGCTTTTATTTGATATGTTCTGTTCTAATTTACATGAAACGGGACATCTCGTGCTTGATTGCAATTTGTGTGTGTATGTATCTAATTCTGATCCATTGATGCCAAAAACTCTAACCTCAATTGTTCTTAACTTTCAAGGGTACCCCTCAAGCGACTTTCTTACAGATTTGTAACTACTAATCAACTAATGGAAAATAGTTATAATTATTATTAGCTAACTCTCCAAGGAACATGTATGTAAACAGATATGACTTGCAGAATTAAAAATGCCATGCTATATAGACAGTTGTCTGTCATCGAAGCAGACACTCTCGTTTTTTAATCATGGAACAAAAACCTTGACTGCCAGCTTTATTTGGACTGACCAGACCAAAAAAATACCTTAATTGTTACCGTATTCACTTAGGTCTATCACGAATAAAAGAATAAGTTCTACTGTTAAGAGCATTATCAACCCATGTTTCCTTCTGTGCATCTAAACAATCATGGGTCTGAGAACTTCCGATTCAGAGTGGACGTTGGGAATCTTTAATTTGATTGGTAGCGTGTTGGCGTGGGTTAGGTGATGTGGTGAGTAATGGCGGCACACCCTGTCAGACTAACCGTGTTTATGGCGGCTACTGACGTCGTCCGGGTCACAGACCTGATGACTGTCCGTCACAAGCCCTCACAATTCTTTATTTAAGTAAAGTGATAGTCACCATGCAACTGAATGTTTTCTCATTTGATAAATACCAGACTAGAACTGTCACATTATCCATGGTTCAATCAGGACGATATTTCATAATTTGTCGATAAAAAAATGCTGTTTTGTATAATTTGTATGGAATAGTCATAGTCTTCTTACATAATCTGTTTGTTTTTCGTTCTTTATGCGTGGTATAAGAAGTTGAAACAAATTGTGTTATCATCTTTCAGCGGTTTTTAATCCCCAAATATAACTGAT